ACCCATAAAAAGAATACGAATACAAGATTCAGAACATATCAAAAAAACCAGATGTAAAACGTAAATATTTCTGAATAATTATTTGGGGATCTGTAGAAACCTTAAACACAAATTAGCAATAGAACAAATTCAAGAAAGCTTAAAAGCAATTGACAATGGGGTTTCCTATTTATCATAAAGAAAGCACAAATCAAAAACCAGATGAACAAAAAGATAAGCGAATACCCATAAAGGAATACGAATACAAGATTCATAACAGATCAAAAAAACCAGAAGTAAAACGTAAATATTTCTGAATAATTATTTGAGAATCTGCAGAAACCTTAAACACAAATTAGCAATAGAACAAATTCAAGAAACTTGAAAGTAATTAACAAAGGGGTTTCCCATTTATCATAAAGAAGGCACAAATCAAAAACCAGATGAACACAAAGATAGCGAAAACCCATAAAGGAATAAGAATACAAGATTCATAACAGATCAAAAAAACCATATGTAAAACGTAAATATTTCTGAATAATTATTTGGGGATCTGCAGAAACCTTAAACACAAATTAGCAATAGAACAAATTCAAGAAAGCTTGAACGTAATTAACAATGGAGTTTCTTATTTATCATAAAAAAGGCACGAATCAAAAACCAGATGAACAGAATCAAAAACCATAAGAACAAAAAGATAGTGAAAACCTATAAAAAGAATACGAATACAAGATTCATAACAGATCAAATAAACCAGATGTAAAACGTAAATATTTCTGAATAATTACTTGGGGATCTGCAGAAACCTTGACCACAAATTAGCAATAGAACAAATTCAAGAAAGCTTGAAAGAAATTAACAATGGAGTTTCCTATTTATAATAAAGAAGGCACGAATCAAAAACTAGATGAACAGAATCAAAATCCAGATGAACAAAAAGATAGCGAAAACCCATAAAGGAATACGAGTACAAGATTTAGAACAGATCAAAAAAACCAGATGCAAAACTTAAATATTTCAGAATAATTATTTGGAGATCTGCAAAAACCTTAAACACAAATTACCAATAGAACAAATTCAAGAAAGATTGAACGTAATTAACAATGGAGTTTCCTATTTATCATAAAAAAGGCACGAATCAAAAACCATAATAACAAAAAGATAGCGAAAACCCATATAAAAAGAATACGAATACAAGATTCAGAACAGATCAAAAAAACCAGATGTAAAACGTAAATATTTCTGAATAATTATTTAGAGATCTGCAGAAACCTTACCAAGAAAGTTTGAAAGTAATTGACAATGGGGTTTCCTATTTATCATAAAGAAGGCACGAATCAAAAACGAGATGAACAAAATCAAAAACGAGATGAACAAAAAGATAGCAAATACCCATAAAGGAATACGAATACAAGATTCATAACAGATCAAAAAAACCAGATGTAAAACGTAAATTTTTCTGAATAATTATTTGGGGATATGTAGAAACCTTAAACACAAATTAGCAATAGAACAAAATCAAGAAAGATTGAAAGAAATTAAGAATGGAGTTTCCTATTTATCATAAAGAAGACACGAATCAAAAACCAGATGAACAAAAAGATAGCGAAACCCCAT